AGCTACATTGAAATGCTTCAGAGCACACTCTGGAAATGACTGCTCTAAATGTTCCCAAAGGTGCCCCCAGTGTCTCTTTGGTCCGGGGTATGGGCTGTAGGTTGTGGGGGCTTGGGCCCCTCTCAAGTGCTGCCTCTCATCCCCGCTGCTGCTGTGAGGATGAGGCGAATGAATTGAACCTTTTTTGTCAGGCTCCCAAAGCAGCCTAGACGCCAGGGTGGGGTGGGGAGCTGTGTGTGAGGGGGTGGGGGAGGGCTTCTGACGCCCAGCTCCGAGCAGGGGACCCTTGACCCCAGCCCCTTGCTCATGCGTGTTGTCTGGCAGCCTGTGTCTATAGCATTCTTTAGTCCTTGACCAGGGAGCCTGAGCTCCGTCCTAATTTGGGGAGGTTCTTGGAGGTCCTCTTCCCCATACTTTTGTCTGGGGCCCCTCAACCTCCACACAACTCTCAGGTGCTGAGATATTACAAACCAGCACAATAAACCTTTATTCCGGCCTGAGTCTCGCTGGTTTTCTGAGGAGGGAATGAGTCCTCCGGGAGATGGGGACAGGTATGTCCCCTGGGCTGTTTCGTGGGGGTGGGGCAACTTTCTGGAGGAGACACATCAGCCAGGCTCTGGGGTCTAAATGGCGGGGGGAAATGAATGAATGTCCAAAGGAACAGAGGGTGGGAACTCACGCCTCACCCCAAGGCTGAGCGCCAGCCTTGGACTTGTAGCCACATAGCCAGGTTCCATGCGTGGCTCTGCTACTTACTGTGGCCACAGGGGAGCCAACCACTCTTTGTTTCCTTGAGGAGACAGGGCAGTGGAGGGGCTTCCAGTGGAGGCTTCAGTTTCCCATCCCCCTGAAGAGTGGCTGAGGATGAGACTGGTCTCTGGACAATGCTGCACTCACCGCACCCTCCCTGGCGCCTGGGGTTGGAGGCAGCCCTGGCCTTTGTCTCCTCACCACCAGGCTCCTCCTCGCCTTTGATAGCAAGTTCCTGTGGCCACTGCTCCCCCTCTGCCTTGGAGCTGCCAGCTGGAATCCAGATGTGACTGAGCTGGGAGCACGTGCTGGATCTCCGGGGTGATGGGGGCAGGGAGTCCATCCCCCTGCTCCCCCTCTCCTCTATCGACCCCACATCCATCCGGGAGGGGGCCCCGGTTTGGGTTTCATAAAACACAATGGCCTCTGTCTCGCTCAGTGGGGAAGCACCCTCCCTTTCTCAGCCCAGACCAGCTCCTGCCCAAGAACATAGGGAGAATTGAATACGAATACTGAATACCCGGATGCTGTGTGGCTCTGACCAAGTCACTTAACCTCTCTGGGTGTGACAGGCTCTCTCCTTGTTCCTGAGCTCCTGTGAGGTCCTGGGCTCTGGGATATGGGGAGCAAGTGTACTGAGCTTCCCCATGACAGGGAAAAACCAGGTAAGACAGAAGTGGACATGGGAGATGTTTCCCAGTCAGCAGCTCCCTGGTCAGTGACTTCCCATTAATGCTTAACTGGGCCTCCAGAGGATGTGGAGTGTGGGCTTTAGCCATAGACTATGTCCCCTGGGACTTGTGGGGGGAGGGGGGATTAAGGAGGTCATTTGAGCCCTAGTGCAGGAGTCAACCTCTTCCTCATCTCTGAGCTTTTACAGCTATTATTCCTTCTGCCTATGATAGCCTTCAAACCATCTCCTTGCCTTGCTAACTTCCTCTCATCCTTTAGCTTCTGGCCTAAACGTCCCCTCCTCCTGGGAGCCTTCCCTGACAGCTCTCACCCAGCTTCTTTTCCACAATCCCTTGGGCTCAGTGACGATGACTGCTCACAATTAACGAGCACCTATTATGTCCCAGGCACTGCTCTAAGCACTGGACATCCGGACATCATTGAGTCTCACAACCCTACAAGATGTACTGTTATTAGTCCTATGTTACAGATAAGAAAACTGAGGCCCAGAGAGGTGAAGTTAGCTGCCCGGGTCACACAGCCAGGATTCCAGCCCCTTGATCTGATTCTAGAGTCGGAGTTCTCCGCTGGGCTCTACTGCTTTTATAATACATGAATGAGTGAATGAATTAATGAAGCCCTTGGAGGAGGAGACAGCACGGCCCCACTCCTGCTTAGAACCCCTTCAATTTGCTCCCCCATCTTTGATGGAGTAACCCAGGAGGGCCCTCTTACAGGCACATATCGGGCCTCTGCCCAGGCACCAGTGAGGAGTGAGCCATGGAGGGAGACAGTGGTTGGGGGTGTGTGTGGCCGGGCTGGAGGGAGAGTAGGGCCTGAGGGTTAGGGTGACGGGTTCCACTGTTCTCATGGATCCGGGAATCTGCCAGGGCTTAAACAAGCCCCACAGTGTCCCAGGGCTTGTAAAATCACACGGCTGCCCTCAGCCTGGGAGTCTGTCCTGGGGCCAGGCCTGCTGTCATCATAAATGGGGAGGGAGGGAGAGAGCGAAACCACCCCAAGACATGAACCCCAGCTCAATGTGGGAATGGGGGTGGGGGTGCTGAAGAGCCCCCTTCTCCATATCCTGGCCTGTTCTCATCAGCCCGATGGGCTGGCCATTTGCTGGCTGGGAGTCTTGCCTAGGATGAGAGCAGGAGGGGCAGAACTCACACCTCCTGGGCCACTCTGCTCTGGGCACATTGTTTGACCCCCTGGATGGTTAAAGTGGTTTGGGCCCTGGGGCGAGACTGCCTGGGTCAATGCCAGCTCTACCCTGACCTGGCTGTGTGGCCTCGGGCAAGTCTCCTCACCTCTTTGGGCCACGTGTATAAAGAGGGGATGATCCTACCCTACCTGGCAGGGGTCTCCACCTGCACATTGAGATTACCTGGAAGCTTTTAAAAATCCTGGCTCTGGGGCCCTCACCAAGACCAATTAAATTAGAGTGTCCTTAGGTGTGGCTGGGGAATTGTCACCACCAAGATGCAAAGCTCACAAGGAGTGGAGCCTGGGCGTATGTCCACTACTGTCTCGCCAGCATCAGTAGCTGGCACATGGTAGGTGTTCCTTGTGTGAGCATGTACACGTAAGGCTGAAGGAAGGCACACGTGCCAGCGCATCCATAACCACATTGAACCCTCTCCACAGTCTTCACAGACAGATGTTTCATTACCCCCGTTTTACAGATGAGGAAACTGAGGCTCAGAGGGGTGCAGTGACTTGCTTGAGGTCACACAGCTGGGCATAGCTGGGATTATAACCCAGGGCCCTCTGGCTCCTCAGCCTGGGCTCTTCAGTGCTGAGCCTCCCACCTCATTTTTGGACTTGTCTTTGTTCCCAGGGCTGAGCCTCTTTGCTGAGCGGGATGTGGGCACATGTGTTTTGCGTCCCTGGCATTTAATCATGAGTCCTGTTTCCTTGTTTCAACCTTGCCTTGCCCCCTGGGGAGTTGACAGCGATGGCTCAGCAGTGTGGGTCTGGCCTGTCTTGGTTCTCTTTCACAGAGGCTTGGTATCCTCTAGTCTGCCCTGGTTGGGATTACTTAACTCCTTGAGTTCCCAGGGGGGCCAGGAGCAAGTAGCAGGGTCATAAACCCTTTGTTTTCCAACCACAACTATTTAATAAGCAGCTACTATGTGCCAGGTATTGGGGACACAGCATTAGTAAAACAGATCTAAGGCTATATTCTAGTGGAGGAGACGAAAATTCAACAAAGAATCGTCCGAATGCAACCACAATGGTTAATAACAGGAAGAGTCATCTTTTATAAATGGACTGTTATGCATGTCTGGTGATTTACTTTCTGTAGCTTTACCGAGGTCTAATGGGCACACGATAAATTCACAAAGTGTACAATTTGATGATTTTGACATATGTGTATACTTGTAAAGTCATTGCCACAGTCAAGATGATGGATATATCCATCACCCCCGAAACGTTCTTCATACCCCTTGGAAACAATCCTTCCTGCTTCTCTCCCTCCCCCACCCCCAGTCCCAAGGCAACTATTGATCTCCTTTCTGTCACCATGATTCATTTTTATTTTCTGGAATTTTATATACGTGGAACCATATAGTGTATACTCTTGTTTGGTCTGGCTTCTTTCACTCAGCATACATATGTTGAGATTTCTTCATGTTATTGTGTATATCAGTATTTCACTCTTTTTATTGCTGACTAGTATTTCTTTGTATAGATGTATTACAATTTGTTTATCCGTTCACCTGCTGATGGACATTTGGGTGGTTTCCAGTTTTAAGCTATTACAAATAAACCTGCCATGAACTACTGATGTTATTTTATTTCTTCCTCACAACCTTCTTAATGAGATGGTCATTATTTCTCCCTATTTGACAGACGAGAAAAGCAGAGACCCAGAGAGGTCAAGTAACTGGTCCAAGGTCATACAACCAGTAGTTGGAGTATAGAAACGTAAACAGTGGGATTGACTGAGCTAAGTGACTTTGGGGACACTCTACAGTTCAGAAGGTCTCAGAACCCCTGATAGAGACCAGCCCCTCGTTTTATATGCGGGCATCGAAGGGCCAGACAGGAGCTGGTGAGAGTCCGGGAGTCTGGTGGGCAGTGTCTGGCGCTATGTCCAGCTCTGCTCTGCTTTGTCCTGGCTCTTACCTGCTGTGAAGGAAGGATTGGGCCTG